AAATCAGGTAGAGTGATATTGGTAGAGGGATATTTCAAACAGAGATATCTTCATGCAATGTATAACAGACTGCGTGCTTTACGCTTGCTCTCAGTGGGTACATACTGCTGTCATAATGTCACGTTTACCAACAGGTTTCGACATATGCCACATTTTGGCTCAGTCCTCAGAGGTAAGATAGAATGCATACATTCTATCCTACCTCAACTCTCTGTGGTTCTATGAATTGCTTAAATTAAATATGTCCTATAGGTATCATTTCAATAAGCCCTTCATATAACAACTCATCAATAGCTTTTGCACTGTCTTGTTTTCCTTTAGCAGGAGGGTCTTAAAGATTAAGTTATTGCACAGTGCAAATGTCTATACTAACAAGCAGGCTACCATCTTTGAATGAGAAGACTTTAAATGAAGACTAAGCAGGAGTATCAATTAATCTACAATATAAATGTTTATTGATACCCTGGCTTTGATTAAAGTAAAAAGCTGGTTCCAATGGTTCAAGAATACAAAATTAATTCACTAAATTCTCAAATGTTGATAATGAACTCAAACTAAAATATTCATTAATAAATATTAACGAATTATTAATTAAGTAGACACCTAAAATAAAACAAAACTGTATCCAAAAATGGTAGTGCCAGGGGCCACTGGGATATTGTTTAAGAGTACAAACATCAAAACGAGTTTAGATTAATTATATCTATGAGTCATTATTATTATTACCATTGTTAACATTAGTCTGTTATAACTTTCTACAAATATATGATTGTAATAAAATCCATTATACTCATAATCATAATTATAGCTTTTGTCCCACTTGTGAAATAATAACAATAACAAAACTGTTTTGCATATCTAGCATTAGCTTTTAAGGTAGTATGGCACACCCCTTTTTAAACATTCAAGGGTGGGGATCCAATCAATGCCTTGTTTACGATTCGGTCTTACAGAAATTTCTGATTTAAATGTCCTCAATGATTGCTTTGGTTAGTTGAAACCATGTGAGATCAGTAAAACTGAAAATAAATAGACAAATGGTATTGAAACGAATGTCAGCTTTTTTTTAATAACTATGGTAATTAAGAAGAGAAACTCTATCCTTACTGGTCCTACATCTCCTAATAGCTACATCTACATCTTAGTCTTAACTACATAACATCTTCCACTAATACTAGGAGAGAGTGAGACAGAGAAAGAGTGAGACATCGGGAGAGTGAGAGACGGAGAGGAAGAAAGAGAGATCAACAAATAAGTGTATAGCCACTACACTGGCATCAAAGACGGCACTCTGTTACAAGGTCATTTGCAGTTTTCTTTTTTTCACACATTACTGAAATACATTGATGATCAACATAAGATTACTGTATAAGGTAACAGGGAATGGAGAAAGAATCGGATGGATGTACATTCTAATATTGTTAGTATAATAATTATTATTAATATAATCATTAACAACCACAAAAATATTGATACAAATCCTTCTGATTAAAAATTTAAATCATTCAAGGGAACAAACTTTTTTCCATTTTTTGAATTCGTAATATACATGTTTATTTTTATTTTTTTGTTAATTTGATTATTACTTAAACAAGTCCCCATTTTATTTTAAAAGAAACCAGCATTCTGCTTCAGAGGAACCATTTCTCCATCTCAACAAACCAGTCCCTACAGGAAATTACTGTGGTGACTATGGTTACTTGGCTAGGTCGAAATGCTCCAGTCTATGGATTATACATGGATTTTAAAATGTCTTTATTGTTAAATAAATGCCCTTTGGGCAAAAAAAACGTTTTCCAATTGCAACAGCCAAGATGTCTAAACTCTAATGGGAATACTTCTTAAAAAACAATCCTTCATATATAATCTGATCAAAACCATTTAAATATCCAACACTTGAAATGTGCAAATAGAATATGGTCACTTTCCTTCTTTGTCACAGTGCAACAACTTTTCTCATAATCCATTCATAATTTCAATCTGTTTAATCTTAAAATAAATTAATTTGTAATTTCTAAGACAAAACTCACAGGACTGAGGTAATGATAGATGTTTTGCCTTCCTAATCAGTTCAAGAAAACATCCCAATAAATGTACGTAAAATATATCTGACTTGAAATATTGCCTGTCACATTGAAAGCAGGCGCTCTGTTAAAAATGGATAAACGGCATTAATAAGAAAAACAAAAACTGAAAATAATCATAACAAAATAAAACATCAACACGTGCAGATTGGTATGAAATGTATCTGGATACTAGTATTCAACATCTGATATTTTTCAAACTTATACAAAGTAAAAGTGTGCTTTGGATTTGTATCATGTTCTTTTTTTATATAGTATTGACTTCACATTGCAGTCACAGATACAGTAGCCTTTCACTTGCGAGTGTCTAGAAGAAGTTGAGCCGGTGTCCTCTTTCAGCAACATTGTGTAGCAATGTCCAGTGTTAACCTTGTGTCATCTTTTAGAAGCTGTGCACTTTTGAGCTCACCATGTAGAAGACAGAACAGTATGCTGGTATGACATTAGCACAGTAAGAAAGACAACAGTATTTACAGAGCAAACCAACAGTGTTCTTGTAGGATCGAGTCCTCAATGGGGTTATCATGGCATTTTGTGCTACAAATGGATTATGATACGACTTAAGAGCATTAAATGTCCTCGTCTTTGACAGTTGTGCTCTTGCACAGTACAGCCTTTTATGATGAACCATCACAAAAATATGGTTCTCTCTGAAATGATTCAATGCAGTGACTTGAATAATATTTACAGTTACAGTACCAGTCCAAAGTTTGAACACACCTACTCAAGGGTTTTTCTTTATTTTTACTATTTTCTACATTGTACAATAATAGTGAAGACATCAAAACTATGAAATAACACATTTGGAATCATGTAGTAACCACAAAAGTGTTAAACAAATCAAAATATATTTTATATTTGAGATTCTTCAAAGTAGCCACCCTTTGACTTGATGACAGCTTTCCACACTGTTGGCATTCTCTCAACCAGCTTCATGAGGAATGCTTTTCCAACAGTCTTGAAGGAGTTCCCACATACGCTGAGCACTTATTGGCTGCTTTTCCTTCACTCTGCGGTCCAACTCATCGCAAACCATCTCAATTGGGTTGAGGTCGGGTGATTGTGGAGGCCAGGTCATCTGATGCAGCACTTCATCACTCTCCTTCTTGGTCAAATAGCCCTTACACAGTCTGGAGGTGTGTTGGGTCATTGTCCTGTTGAAAAACAAATGATAGTACCACTAAGCGCAAACCAGATGGGATGGCGAATCGCTGCAGAATGCTGTGGTAGCCATGCTGGTTAAGTGTGCCTTGAATTCTAAATAAATCACTGACAAAGCACCCCAACACCATCACACCTCCTCCTCCATGCTTCACGGTGGGAACCACCCATGCGGAGATCATCCGTTCACCTACTCTGCGTCTTACAAAGACACGGCGGTTGGAAACAAAAATCTCAAATTTGGACTCATCAGACCGAAGGACAGATTTCCACCAGTCTAATGTCCATTGCTCGTGTTTCTTGGCCCAAGCAAGTCTCTTATTCTTATTGGTGTCCTTTAGTAGTGGTTTATTTGCAGCAATTAGACCATGAAGGCCTGATTCACACAGTCCCCTCTGAACAGTTGATGTTGAGATGTGTCTGTTACTTGAACTCTGTGAAGCATTAATTTGGGCTGCAATCTGAGGTTCAGTTAACTCTAATGAACGTATCCTCTGCAGCAGAGGTAACTCTGGGTCTTCCTTTTCTGTGGCGGTCCTCATGAGAGCCAGTTGCATCATAGCACTTGATGGTTTTTGCGACTGCACTTGAAGAAATATTCAAAGTTCTTGACATTTTCAGGATTGACTGACCTTCATGTCTTAAAGTAACGATGGACTGTCATTTCTCTATGCTTATTTGAGCTGTTCTTGCCATAATATGGACCGGTCATTTACCAAATAGGGCTATCTTCTGTATACCACTCCTACCTTGTCACAACACAACTGATTGGCTCAAACACATTAAGAAGGAAAGAAATTCCACAAATTAACGTTTAACAAAGCACAACTGTTAATTTAAATGCATTCCAGGAAACTACCTCATGAAGCTGGTTGAGAGAATGCCAATAGTGTGCAAAGCTGTCATCATGACAAAGGGTGGCTACTTTGAAGAATCTCAAATATAAAATATATTTTGATTTGTTTAACACTTTCTTGGTTACTACATGATTCCATATGTGTTATTTCATAGTTTTGATGTCTTCACTATTATTCTACAATGTAGAAAACAGTAAAACTAAACAAAAACCCTGGAATGAGTAGGTGTGTCCAAACCTTTGACTGGTACTGTATATTTTTCTTAAAATCTGAATTCACAAAGTATTAAAAGGAAAGGTTATTTTTTCCTGACAACAAAAACATTTGTAAAAAAGGACTGTGAAAATATTGTAGTCCTCTTATTGCCCAAAATAGGTAACTAACAACATAAAAAAAAAAAAAAAAAAAAGCTACTAATATTTATTAGTTACTCTTTTAAAATTGAATTAACACCACCTTTCTTCAGGCCTCATCAGTTCATGTCAGTTTTCTTGTATGTGCAAACTGACATCCTAATATTTTTCCATCACCAAGGTTAAACGCAAACAACCATAGCAACATAGCAATCTCCAAAAAGGAAAACAAATAACAGAAATAAGCCAGTTTACATAAATAGTTACTAATTTCAGAGGATCAAAAATACACAAATATTGGACACTAAGTTAAAATTAGAATTAATCTTCCCTTATTAATTCGAAGACTACACCGAAAAAAATAGAAAATAAACTAAACCGATTTAAAATAAGGAACATTTAAATGACAAAAAACACCTAAATCCTACACAAAGGTACTAGGTTACAGTTGGATATTAAGGATGTTAACACCAGGTTTCGATTATAGTACAGCAGATTGTAGTTTCTTTTTCTGAGATGATTTTGACATTTTCTTCAGTTCTTCTTCACGTGGTGCCACCTCCTCCACTCTCCTCCTGTTGGTTGATGCAGTAGTGCTTGGCGTTGGATGGCATCACCTGTTCACATAGCCAGTTAAAAACTCTGCCCGGTCTTCCCCGGGCCTCCTGAAATACTCTGCTGGAATGGGAAACAGAGACATTCAAATCCAATAGTTAAAACCAAAAGTTCCCGCTTCTCTGTAACACTGATACAGTATGTCATGTCTGACAGCTTTTCCCCTCAACTGCCAATATTTTCTTATGTGCCATTATATCTCTTCATTTAAAATGTTCTCTTGATTCTGAAACATTTCATTGATGGTAGCACCAATTCGAATTGGTTGAAGCAGCAGATGGTCCAAATTTAATAATCTCAAACCCAGCCTCTGCTGGGGAGAGAGAGAGCAGAAGGAGTGCTACATCCCATGCGAGCTTTTTCACTGGCAGAAAGATGGATGGCACTAGCCTGGAAACCAAACTCAATTCTTCTGTTTCACTATTGCTTCACTTCAAGAAAGGATTCCAGGCTAGGATGGTCACGGCAGTGAGACACCAGCCCAGACACAACATAGTGTACAGCAGTATCCCTGCTAACGCACGACACAGAGCTTTATGGAAGAGGGGCAGCAGGCATGGACAGGACATCACTCCCATGTTAGTCTACAGTACACACAGCATGCACAGAGACAAGCAGTACCGCCCAGCTACCAGTTAGATGAGGGGTTCGTTTTTAAAAGCAGGTTTACAGAAAACTGCACTTTACTCTGTTGCCTTCTCTGATGGCTTCCACTGTGCTGTCTGGCCCTGTGTTTTTATACTGAACAGAAATATACACGCAACATGCAACAATTTCAAAGATTTCATATAAGGAAATCAGTCAATTGAAATAAATAAATTAAGCCCTAATCTATGGATTTCACATGACTGGGCAGGGGCACAGCCATGGGAGGGCCTGGGAGGGCATAGGTCCACCCACTTGGGAGCCAGGCCCAGCCAATCAGAATGAGTTTTTCCCCACAAAAGGGCTTAATTACAGACAAAAATACTCCTCCTTTTTGTGCATATGGAACATTTCTGGGATCTTTTATTTGAACTCATGAAACATGGGACCCACCCTTTACATATTGTATTTATATTTTTGTTCAGTGTTTATAGACTAGCAGTGAATTTCAACAACAAATGCTAATTGTTGTACATAATGTACACCTACCAGAACCATGGTGATCCATTTCAGACAGCAATACATACGGTGAAAACTAGAGGAACTGATGCCTACATCTGTCGTGTCATTCCATTTCACAGCAATACACGATAGGACACAGGGTGCTACACCAGCTCAGTGGTGCCACCATGCAGTCACTCCCACCAGTCTGACATATCTGTCCAACGGAGGGTTTTATGAATAAGACTCAAGAGGAGAACTGGACTGGGGTGTCTCTGTCTGGGTCGATCTAACTCGACACAAAGCTGACTGCCTAAGACTGAAACTTGAAGTGGTGTAGGGGACTGTTGCTGCTGGGTAGCTGCAGTGACTAACACTGCCCTAAGGCAAAGATTCTCACTGTAGAGACATACACACACTCTCAGTGTACACACGCGCAAGCACGCACACACTCCACTTGTCACTCTCACTTGTCACTCTCTCAAACTGCTCACAAATGCACTTTATACACACACATTTTCGCTGATGTGGCTTCAGACAGTTATGTTTGGATGTTTGTTTTCATAAAGTTACTCAATAAACTCTGGCGGTGAGGGTAGAGATGCTGTGGTCTCCAGCGGAGGAAATGACCCAAAGGTGAACAGATCCAGCTCCCCCTCACTCTCACTCTCAACTCAAGCTCCAGACTCAGACCAGTGTCCATATACTGAACAGTAGCACGTCAAATAATATATATAATATAACATATGCCATTTAGCAGACACTTTTATCCAAAGTGACTTACAGTCATGCTTGCATACATTTTACTTATGGGTGGCCTCGGGAATCGAACCCACAACCCTGGCAGTGCAAGGGCCATGCTCTACCAACTGAGCCACACAGGACCACAAGAAACCAGAGTCTGTTCCCTGAATAGCCAATGCCAACCCACCGTACAATATATGACTTGGTTATGACTCTTGGTTGATTGCTGAATTCCAGTGGAAAGCTAGCTACATAAAATTGGTAACACAAGAGAAAGCAACAGTGAGGAAAGCAACAGCAGAGTTTGCATAAACCCAGTACACTTTTCCTTTGCAGAATACTATAATATTTTATTTTAACAGAATACATGCTTAGTCTTCTAGAAACAGGGTAACAAAGTGACAATAGTGTCGGGGCGTTACAAGCTAGACATGTGCATTTCACCATCTCAGGGTGGTTTCACAATGGAAAATGACAAACATTCACTTTTTAAAGGGTTTAAATATACAACATAAGAATGCAGACATGTAAGCAACGTGTAGAAACCCTGTAAAAAGTGATTTCTTGTTTTTTGAGGGGGAGGATCTAAATCAGACAGAAAGGGAAAGAAAATGAAAATATAATAGGAAAAAGACTAAAACATTATATAAATGACATAATAATACCTCAAATGAGATGGCAACCAACCACCTGTTAGGTTTCAATGGTATCCATTTGTAAAAGCAGTTGCAATCAACGGCCCCTAAAAGTGTACAGTTAGTGCTTGCGTCAGTATGCATTTCAGGGAAAAAGGCAAAAAATAAACCTATTACTGGTAAATATATTTTATTCATAAGATGTGCTGCCAGCATGAATGGAAATGTTCTCATTCATTTCCTCAAGTCAAGTTCGTTTTAGCCATTGGAACTGCATTTAAGCCCCAATTTGGTTATTTAATTTCACAGAGGTGAGTCTCAGGCAGTCCCATTGTGGTGCTGGCAACCTGTCTGTGTCCTAGAGCAGAGCTCTCTTTATAGGCAGCATAAATTAAATCAAACTATTTCTAAAGAGTTGTGGACATGGACACCGAAGAGCATGTTACTGCTGGGGTACATACTAAGAATGTATTTTTTCTTTGATAAGAAGCAGTGATTAAAATCAATTGAATTCTCTAGCAGTGGACAGCAGTAGTAATTGGCATCAGTTCTTCTTACAGCAGTTCTCTACATGGTGCACATAAATCTTTTTGAAGGTTCGCATTTACTGCATTCACCACCAATAAGGATCCATTATAGCCATTTACTGCATTCACCACCAATAAGGATCCATTATAGCCATTTACTGCATTCACCACCAATAAGGATCCATCATAGAGATTTGGATAACTTGCTCGATGATAAGTGGCTAATGCTGGCTAAAGCAGGAGACTAATGTTGTTAGCGTCAAAGGTCTAAGTGTACTATGTATGTATTGTGTGAACAAGGTTTTGTTAAGACTGCATGGATCAGTAGAACTATAATGTAATCACATTCATGCTAACATGTTTTAATGAAATCACCAGCAGAATCACAACACATGCAAAAACAACTTCAGCAATGATGTCAAGGATGGAAAGAATGGAAATGGAGTACTCCTCCAAAGCGAATGTGTCACCTAGCCCAAGCCATAATGTAGGTGAAACTGTGAACTTCAACAGCCAACGTCCAAAAAAGAAAATATGTGCCGCTATATAAGACAATCATAAAAACTGAGCTTGAAGAGAAAAATATCTGCCATTTAATTCTATGTAGGTTGGGATGAAATATTTCTGACTAGGGATTTTGAGTGCCAACAGTGCCTGTCATTTCTGAAATATAGACAAGATCTTATTTTTCAACCTACATTTCACTTATTGAGGTTGAAACTGTCTCTCAAAGTCAAGTGGAAGGTGACATTCCATTCTGATTCCAAATGATCGTTCAGCTGTTAGCTAATCTAATGAAAGCCCTCTCTGTTTCCAGAGTGGTGCTTTATGTGACGACACGGTTCCTTTACAATTCCTCTAACATGCTAGGAATGCACTGGAAGACAAGGTGTTCAGTGGGCCAAACATACAAAAAGCCTTATTCAGTTTTCAGCACACCTTGATGTTGTGTTTTGGACAGCAGTTCAAACAGGGAGAATTGTATTAATTCTCGGTGTGGCAGAGTACAAGGCTTTTAGTTACTCATCCATTTTAGTTGGAGCAGATTTGCCTCCGTGCTTTTTCCTGAGCTGGCTAAAATCCATCAATACCCTCGTCAAAGGTTCCAGACTGAAGCAGCCAACAGGGATAATGAATGTCAGTGTCTTCAAAGGACATGGAGAAAATATTCTCACGACAGTGGTTTAACGCACAAGGGGTTATTATTGTCGTATTGACTTACATAATGCACTTTGAACGAGAATCCTTTCAAAGACCTGGAATTCCTCTGTTGTGAGCGTACTCAAATCAGGAGTCATCACCACTGAAAAGGTGAAACAAAATACTGTTCCAGATATGAGCAAAAACAACTAATTGCGGGATTTTTTGACCTTCTGGCTGGCGCATGAACAGAAGTACACTGACACATCAGAGAGGTGATGATAGGCCGTACAAGTTCACAGTATGTTATAAGAATAAATGAGATGTGTGAATGAGGACGGAATGTTGGTAATGCTTACAATCACACAGAACCAACCACGTGCCTGAGCACCTGTCGAGCACTTGTGCCTTATTTTATGTTCCGATGGCAAACATTCTCACTGTATTGCAGGCACATAAGCACTGTAAAGCTTTTGACTAAAATAGGCCTAAACTCTGGCACAGTGACACTGAGCACACTGAATATGCCTGCATTGATGTTTGACTCAAGTGGTACAGAGTGACCAGCAGAAATTGCCTTAAGATTGTTCTTGATTCGCAGAGATTGTACTCTGATAAATGTTTACATGATGCCATCACATTCACAAACAGTAAGCACTACTTAATCTACAGTTCTCTTCTGATAGATACTATATGTTTAGCGTAAAGAACGGAAGACCTCACAAGACGTCTGTAGCATAATAAGCATACCTATCTCTTTTGTGTATAGAAACCATATCCTTCAGACTGATGAAATATCCTGACGATGAGTTGAAATGGGCTGAGAGAATGAACAAGGACGATGGTCGACAGCACAGAGAAGATGAAGGCGGTATTGGAGGAGGTGGACGAGTTGCTGGAGTAGGCCATACTTACAGCAATGCTGTGGCCGAAGCCAGAGCCAGGCTGTGGGCTAGCAGCACTAATGTAGTTGCCCACACCGGAGTCCTGGCTGGGAGTGCCATAGAGGTCAGCCACGGGCCCGGGACTGTTGGTGCCGGGGAAGGCTCCGGGCCGGGCCTGGTTGGTGCCTGACGGAGGGGGGGAAGCGGGGGCGCCAAAATTGGGATGAGCAACGTAGATATTTAGGACTGGTGGTGTGCAGAGATGGATAAAAGCTGAGTACGAGACTGAGGCCTGGCATGCACAGTGGGAGAGACTATAAGGACACTGGTGACCTGCAAAACGACTAACCTGACCCTTACCTTACCCAAATCCTTACCTTAAAGGGAAAATCCACTCAAAACCGATCTTTTTGACTTTTTTCATTAGTCCACTATTGATACAGTCCCAAAATGTTTTGCATGTCAACAGTCAAGTTTTCAAGATATTGGACTTTCATGCATAATACTAAAATATAGTTTTTGAGTGGATTTTCCCTTTAACCAAATTTTAACCAATTCTGAAATTAAATATCAGTTTGCAGGTCAGGAGTGTCCATATAGCCTTCTCCATGCACAGTAATACTGGGCTGAAAAACACAAAGCACAAAACTCAATACACTACAGTCAAACTGGAAATGACAACGTCAGAGAGGAAGAAGGAAGAGTGTACATAGTTTATGTATACATTAATTAGGCTCAATGCTTTGTTCTCCAGTTGAAATTGAATGTAATGCTAGCAGAAATGTATTAATAATGTTTAAATGTGATGTTTGTATGAGGAGCCTGGTATAAACATATACATATGCAAAATGTATACATATTCTACTAGCCATCTGACAAGCTCCAATTAAACACAGTTTTAAAAGTAGATGTAATTCAGGATGCTCATGCATGACAAGTTTTCTACTTTTACGTACTCTAAGCATTCATATTCCATGCAAACTGCAAAATAGCGTAGAGTTAAGACAGTGCAGAGACATGTTCTATAAAGGGAAGATATGAAGGCTATCGCTCTATACAGCAGCTGAAGGAGCTCATCTCAAGATCCTATAGGATGTAAAAAGGTGGCAGAGAAAAAGTGAGATGCCTCTTTGAAGGTCCCTCTCCTTATCTCTCCGTCTAGCACTGCGTTGTGCGTCCGCCAGCGTCAAATATGCGAGTTCATGAATCCCACTTTAATACAATAAATTGCTCCGGGGATTTGGGCACAACACCCCCTATCTAATCAACACCTGTCGCTAGGAGAGGCCCTCTCTCTCTCCTCCTTTAAATATATGATGGTGATTATCTTCCCCTTAGTGACAGGGGTATCAGGCCTAGCTGGTGCCTGACAGCCAGGAAATTACACAGGGTGTCCTGGGTAATGCCTGCTAAAAGACTGCATCATTGCGTCACATTTCCACAGCAGCCTCCTGCCAAGCCCAGCCGGCCCTTCCACAGAGAGAGAGAGAGCACACAATAAAGAGCAGAGAAATGGAGCCCACCACCCACCCTCTGCATCTCAGAGCTCACCCAGAGAGAAAGAGAGAGAGAGAGAGTGAGAGAGAGAGAGAGTGAGAGAGAGAGAGAGAGAGAGAGAGAGAGGAGAGAGCGAGAGAGAGAAGAGAGCGAGAGAAAAGGTGTGTGTGTGTGTGTGTTTAATGTGTGACGGGCAGGGGGAGATAGACAGCCACTATAACCAACTAACGAAAGTCTGAACAGCCAATCTAGATGACCTTGGCAGTGTATGTGGGGAAAACTACGGCTATAAAGTGAGAGAGGCAAAGAGAGCTAGACAGAATCTTTTGAAAATTAGAACACAACGCCGGGGAGAAATCCCAGACCAATAATACTGGCAATTAAGAAATAAAAAAGAAAGAGGGAAGCAGATGAACCATGGGGTTAAATTACTCAAATTGAGCCATTGCTGCAGTGAGCTCAGCACCAGGTGACCCTCTGTTTTAGTGTGTTGAAAAGACAAATTAAAATAAATAAAAACAAGAGCATATATTACATTAAAAATCCCGGGAACCTCGGGCCCCCATGGTGAGGTCCGCTCATTTTTCTCTCAGAGCGCCGCTCAGTGACACTCCTATTAATAAAGGAATATTAAATCAGTTTTTCCACTGCAGCTGGACTCTTTTGGTTGGTGCGGATGTGCATTGAAAGGGAGGTCTATTAATGCGCTGGATCTGAAGACTCGTGAGGGTAAGGGTTATTAAAACCATCTCAAGAAAGGAGACAGTCTAAATGAGAATGAAGGAGGATTTAGCCACACATTGTAATACGTGTCAAAATGAAATCTCTGTCTAAACACACTTCCATGATCACTATAGATTATTGGATTGCAAAATATGTTGTAAGCTGTAACTGTGTTGCTCTCTAACAAGTGTCGTATGATAAAAAAAGCCACAATACTATCTATGGATATCCCTGTTTGGGGGTAGAAAAAGCATACACTGACACACACACACACATCAGATCAAATATTTCCTTCTCCCTCTAACATGAGCGGATTAAATAATGAAATGACAAAGTTACAGTAGCCTCTTTGTGAGTGAGAAATAAACAACTTCTCAGAGTGACACTGCTGCTTAGTATCAAGCAAGGTTTCTGACTGGCTGCACTGTTCTTATCAGAGTGACCCAGTCCTAACAAGACTGTTATAACCAATTACCCACTCTATCTCTGTTTATACAGCAGGTTAGATTCCTCATAATTGGTAGACTTTGCTGAATTGCACATCCCCCTGGCCGTTCCCATGTTGAACAGGATTTATTGTATTTAAACCACACTGTCAGCCCCACTAATAACTACACATGACTTACGCTCATTGGATGACAGTTGTGTGGTTAGAACCCTATTGGTGATTTATAAAGAAAGGTCAGAGTAACCTGCTCTCACTGTATTACAATGTTCAGCACTTTCTGCTCCAGTCTAGATTTATCAAAGGAAATCGGGCTTTAAGGGACCAACAAAATAAGAGGAAGGTGTGCGTTTCTAAAGACCATATCATTCAGACTGTCTGTGCATGAGCTATGATAACAGTAACCCGTTCAATGCATTCTGCAACTCTTTGTTCCTTCTTTCCTCATCAAATAGACTTCATTCCAGCAACAAAACATTATCTCGAAAGATGTCAAGCCAACAGGAATAATTTGCCACAGAACTTTTGCTCAACTTATTCATGAACACTTGTCATACTTTTGTAACTAGTCAAATACAAGCCTTGGGAGCTCAATTTATGGTCACTCGTTCTGTACGACAAATTCCTTATCAAGTTCTCTCTCTCTTACTTAAATGAGCAGTCTAAATACATATAAATGATGGTTCACCTTATATGAAAACGTAATGCACTGTACCAACAAACCAGATGAACTGTGGGTAAGCAAGGGATGGAGATCAATATTTGAAGGTGTGATAAACAAAAATCGGTACTAACAACAATACTACTGTAATGTATGCTGAACTGAAAATGGGTAACACTTATCATGTATGCCTATGTAGGCACTACAGTACATTAGGTCACCATCACTGTGTAAAATGAGAACGCGGTATCTGTCTTTCAGTCAACAGACAGCCATCCGTCCTTCCCTCAGCGCCACATGGAGTGCGTAAGCAGACAGAGACATGTACACATACATATCAAACTAAACATATCCTGAAGTCACTTCCAAAAGCAGTGTTATGAGAGGCATGCAGGGTATAGCAGGCAAACCGCCAGGGGTGCTACGCTACAGAACATCACCTTGTTCCTCTCTCTGTCTCTATAAACACCTTTATTTTCTCTCTCTTCATCACACTCTCTCTCTTCATCTCCTCCTCACTCACACTCTCACACACACACACACACACAAGCCTCCTGATGAATTCCTAACTAGAGTTCATTAATCTGAATGGCATCATTGAAGGAGACGTTAGCGGGGTACACACCTGGGCTCTTAAAGGGGTCCGGGCTGTGCTGCAGATGGTGCTGGAGGGGGGAGTTGCAGGCGGAGGTGGCATGATGCTCACTGTGCTGCAGCATCTGAGCAGCCTGAGGCCCCAAGGAGCCATAGTCGGCAAAGGAGCAGGGGGGTCCCCGCAGGTCACTGGGCCCGGCCCCGGAATAGAACCCATAATCTGGGAACCCTGAGAGATAGGGGTATAGTATAGGGAGGGGAGGGAGGGAGGAAGGGGCGGGATGGGACGCATGTCCATCATCGTGGAAACACTTTACACAGTACTATAGTAACGTTATTTTTGTTATTTTATTGCTATGTTGTTGTTTTTCTGCATGGCATTGTGGTGTGGTAAAGAGGAAGGCAAACTACAGTAAACATCCATGACTGGTTTTCTTCCTGCTTCCCCCCACCGCCCCACTGCCAGTGTGTGTGTGTAATGTGGTATGAGAGACTGGGTACAGGGGCACTACACTACACACACACCAGCCCTGCTCCCTAACACTAGTTTAGCTGAAGACTTCCACAGTGCAACTCAATGTGGCCTCAGGCTAAAAATTATGGTCAAAGAAAATCTTTAGTAGAATTTACAACAGGTCAGTTCATGTGATCTTCAATTGCTCGCTTCTAAACACACACACATAATAACTGTGTTCAAGGGTGAAAAATAACCAAAATGAGATTCTCCTAAAGTAAGCGGGAGAATGATTAAGAAAAATAAATTATTCATGTTTGGGCTTCTGCTCATAAATCAATATTATTAGAACAGCAATTCCTCATTCATTTTAGATTTGACACAGGCAAGATTTCACAATGTACTGGACTACTGATGTGGAGGAGAGGAGAAACAGACACAAGGCATTTGTTAACTATCAAGCTCCCCACAGCTCCGTACCATAGACACTCAGTGCCCTCACAGAGAGCTGCATTATCTGTGTAAATGGACTGTACTTAATGTTTTTATATTCATTTTTATTTCTATTAGTTTTTCTATTTTTATTTGAAATTTAGTTTAGTTTCAGTTAGTTTTCAGACCTGATTTGCTAGTTTTTCTTTAGTTAGAGTTGTTGAATAAAAATATTTATATTTCGTTTTTATATTATTTTGTTTCAGTTTCAGTTTTATAGTGTTTGTGTGTTTTTTGGGATGCCACTTCTTGCAACTGGGGGGGCAGTCATACGTCCGGGTCCTGCCCCCTAATCTTTTGAATGGGCTTGACAATATTATCATCAAATTCGTGAAAATGCAGTCATTTAAGATGTATATGAGATCATATTCATGTTTGTGGATGAATGTACTTCTGCCAGGTGCGTTTTATGAAGTTAGTGCACTGAAGACCCATCTACGTTTTTGCCCATTGAAAAACATTCAAAAAGTCTACAAAAGTTCAACTACAAGGCTACTTCCTGGAAAATCAGGGGTGCGTTTAGCAGCCTATGTAGAACAAACATGCATCTGACATGTAGAATAAGGAATCCCATCAGCTCTATTCATGGCATTTCTATCAGTTTGTGGGCATCGTTTGTCACCGTTATAGTGCAATTAATGTATTGTTTAGTGTTGTGTTGTGTAGTGGCTTTGCTGGCATGCCCCACCAAGATGTACATGCTAAGATCGCCACTGCAAATACTAAATAGCTTTTTATGATTAATTTTCGTATTAGTTTCAGTTTACTATAATAACCTTGGTGCTTATACACATCACTCCTGGGGCAGAACAGTGTGTTGACATGGACCACAGGTCTCCTGACTCATAATATGTTACAAGTGCTGTTAAAACCTAGCTTTGCCACTGACATTACTGTACTTAGCCTACGATACTTATCTAGCCTTTGCTTTTCAAATCCACCTGTACTCATTCACTCTACTGACTGGCTGAAATAACTAAACATACTTTCACTTCATGTATGCTGTGAATGTTTGTGGAATTGAGTAATCAATAGAATATGTCCTGAGACAACAGATGCAACATATACTTTAGAAGACAGATTTCTAAACACTCAAGGAGATGGAAGACAGAAAGAGAGAGGGGTTCAGGATGCGCCGGCCCTCTCTACTCCTCCACATCTCTCCAGAAGAGGGGGATGCCCACTCAAGCAAGGCGTTTTTAATCATTTAAGGAAGGGAACAAAACATACACACACACTTAGGTTTTAATAAAGGTTTTCTGTGTGCGCTAATAGATGGGTGTCCTTGAGGTTCAAAGTGATTTCTGAGCTCCCCTCTAATTAGACGTCCCGTTCTGTTTCCTCTCATCTCCTTAATTAGATCTTTAACAACAAACAAATGAAGACCTTTACAGAGCAACGCCACCACCACCCACATTAGTTCACACTGAGGAGGCGGCCTCCGGCTGGTCCCTTCCCTTTGTCAGTCTGTCCCTCTCACAGGCCACCCGCCATGATGCCAGCCTGCAGAAGCATCCCACTAAATACAGACTAGCGAGAACAACTTGGCAGGAACGACAGGGAGATAAATACAACATTAACACTCTTGCACACGCACATGTGCACACAAACTTACAACAAACACACATGGAAAATGAGCCCTTGGCTGCCGGCGTCCCTGGTGCCGTGAACGTCTTATCTAACAAAGCACGGCAAAATGACTTGTATTATTCAGGGCGATCACGGCTAATGATAGCACTATCTATGTAAAATGTGGAATAAAATGCTGTTAAAAAGCTCCCATTTACAGACCACAGAGACCGCTGGATCGGCCATCTGGAAAAATGGAGGCGCTTGATTAATGCGCTAAGCTAATTCTCCTTTCTGTGCATGCAAATTATTCACTTTGAGCGCATGGAAGTGAAAAACGGAGCGGAATTAAACAGCAGCATTGGAGTGATCAAGGTTAGGACAATAATGGCAGGGCTCTGATGTTCCTATAGCAACTCATGTCCTCTGTCTATCTGTCCATCTGTCTGTCCATTCTGATGGAGAATAGCAGAGAAAGATTTATTTGTTATTTATTATTTTATTATTTATTTGGTATTTGTTGCCATCTATGCCTCCTTATTACTGTTTTAAAATAAATAAAGCATTTCTAATTACAGTATCTCATAAAATGAGAGAAAAAAACTATTACAACAGTTGTGTCAACTCCCAACCACCGCCCTAACATGAACAGTGTTCAGCAGCCTGTCTCTAGCATGGCCAGACAGATGTGTTGGAGCTGTGGAATATCTGCAGGGCCCCTGGCCCCTAGAGAGAGTCTGTCCCTGGCTGCAGCCATAGCACGTCCCCAGCAGCACAGCTGACACCCGGCGTGGCTGGGCTGACTGGAGCTCTGGAGGAGTGTCGTGTCAACACTACTACCATTAGCGAGACCCCGTCTGGGAACGCCACTACAGAGCCACTGGGAGGATGACATGACAGAGGCTAAACACAGGCTCTAGTTCTCTAGTCCTCTCTGCCATTACACGTAATGCTCCACAACACGTATCAAAGGGTACAAACATGAAATAAACCAACAAATGAATAAATAAAATAGCCCCTTTTATGAGATGTTAGGAAACATAGAGGTGATTTGTTGCTGCAGGGAATTGTAGTGTGGTGCTTTCCCTTTAGTGGATGTTAATGAGAGGCCAGGAAAACCCTTGAACAATACCGATGGCCAACAACTATTGTACACTATAGTTACATCATCACATTCAGTAACATAGGGCCACTATACTCGCCCAAACACCCCCCTGTGGTGTGACAGCCATGATACAGTTTCCCATTTCAGTCCCATCTATTAAAAACAATAATTACAAAATAATATATGAATAACAAATGACCAAGAGTAGGTGGCCTTTCTCTCCAACATCCCCCCAACACACACACCTTCTTAATTGGGGGGGCAATTACTCACCTCCACAACAAATGTGTGTGGCTCTGGGTTGCTGTGGTAACGGGATGGGGGACTATATAGGCTCAGCGGAGTGGATCGTTGAGGGAGCGTTACCATTTCTGATTATAATCGCCCTCCTCCTCTTTTATTTTCCTCAGCATGCCGTGTGTATGGAGGATGGATGAAGCCCATTCTAACCACTTCCATCATGGTCGTCACAATTACTGTCAAAATCACTGTCATCATCCTCTTCACAAGTCTGTTTACCAGTCTGTTTATCTTTTTAAACAGAGTTCTACACGAGCACCTCCAGTCGAGATTTTGATTTCATGCTTTCAAAACTTTTGAGTTGCTGATAATGTCACGGAGAATGCTAGCATGTGCTTCCGCTTTGTGTCATGATGAATGAAAAGCCCCTTCGTTAACATGTCTGGGTCTACTGCCAAACCTGTCGTCTTAACGTTGTGCCTAATCGAGGGAGAAACGCTTAACACCTGTCCTGTCAGCAACATTATTCACACTATTTGTGTGTTGATGTGAGCGAGAAAAAACAAAACAGTTGCCATTTAAAAAGCTCTTCCATAGAAAGATCGTGGAAGAGTTGACAAGTGGCCTGGAGGACTGGTGCCAATGTTGGAAATAACATTTCACACAATCACCTGCCTCAGGCCACACTGTCAGAGGCACTGGATCCATTTGAGAGGGCCCCAGAGTGTTCTCCAACAAAACCCTGTCTCGTTCAGTTACGCACACTGACCTTGCAAGTACACACCTGCACACACACTCATACATGTACACACCCATTCAGGCAGGCACAAGTGTGCACGCATGTATAGGCCCAGAGCAGTGCAGACCTCTTCAAAAGTGAATAATACACTTGTCAAATGTGTTTCAAAATTAGCTTTGAATTTCAGAGCATCTGCAATTAGCTCCATTTCCACCTATGTCATTTGAAAAGATGACGCTCTCTTTCTGTTCTGCCTGGAGTGGGTTTCTGTCCCCGTCTCAAACACCATTTTCTAACTGAATAGGTGACTAATTAACAAAGGACAAATTCTTTTCAGCCTGCGATGGCAGTTCATAAATAATCGCTAGATAATGGCGCCTCATTTTGTGCTCAGATAGGCTGGCATAATGATAGTTAATAGATTATATATCCTGGATGTTCATAGGCAGAGGGGTACTGCCATCCATCCACAGAAACAACGCTGCAGCCCTTATATCTTCACTCAACACGCTTTCACATACACAGACCACACACACACACTTTCGAGCATTACACTGTCAGGCAAACAAACACCATGAGAATAGAAGTGGACAGGCGCTCACAAACAAGTGGTGCTGTACTGCTGGTAGAGGACTGCTGGTAGAGGACTGCTGGTAGAGGACTGCTGGTAGAGGACTGCCGGTAGAGGGCTGCTGGTAGAGGACTGCCGGTAGAGGGCTGCCGGTAGAGGACTGCCGGTAGAAGACTGTTGGTAGAGGACTGCTGGTAGAGGACTGTTGGTAAAGAACTGTTGGTAAAGAACTGTTGGTAGAGAACTGCTGGTAGAAGACTGCTGGTAGAGGACTGCTGGTAGAAGACTGCTGTAGAGGACTGTTGGTAAAGGACTGCTGGTAGAAGACTGCTGGTAGAGGACTGTTGGTAAAGGACTGCTGGTAGAAGACTGCTGGTAGAGGACTGTTGGTAAAGGACTGCTGGTAGAGGAGCCGGGTAGAATTGAGCAGACACATATATCTATCTTCATCATGAGGGGAGACAGGCGTCGGAGAGCTACGTGGTTCATTTTCACACCCTCTGGGCTCTGGGTAGGGGAGTTGGAGTGACCTAGTTTGAGTGAACAGTCTGTTTTCCTTTTGAGTGTTTCTGACATAGCTGTCCATCAGGGGCTGGGAGGGGGGGGGGGGGTTATAGAGATGGGGGAAACTTTCTGTGATCCAGGGTCCAGCCTCGACTCATATTGGAGCGAGAAGGAAGAATGGACAGGAGATTTCAGATTATTGTTACTGATTGAGGGATGGAGATCACCTGAATGGAATGATCACCTGCAGCTATAGAGGAAGGGGAAGGGAAGGAGGTACTGTAAGACGGTTAAAGAGACGCTAGTGTCTCGTTCCATTCTCCTCCAACTCAACCTCACTTTCCTGACACGTCCCCTCAACAAATGACAAGGAAATAGAAAATCATTCAGGCTGCATTTAGAAATGAGGTCAGTCACTGGTTGGACCAGTGTGTCAGCTGCCTGGGACATATGAATAGAAATCATGTCCTGCCAAGTCAGGCCCAGAGTGCCACACTGATTCAGCTCTGAGCTGCTGCAAATCACGTCAATGTCGTAATCACACAGGAGTCTGCCTAGAGGAAATGACCAAACCTTCTGTATATAATAATGGGGGGGGGGGGGGGGTCAATTTAGCCCCAAACGCTCCAGATCCCTCCTAGATACCAGCTTTTGAGCTTGTCATCAAGAACGACTAACGACCAACGACTCACAACTACAATGCAGATACGGTAAGAAAATCCTGGATACCATGTCAGCTTGTAGCAGTACATACAAGAACACAGAAAACAACAGTAGCTAGTAACTATGACTACGTCCATCACTACCATGACCACCCGAGTGGCGCAGTGGTCTAAGGCACTGCATCGCAGTGCTAGCTGTGCCACTAGAGATCCTGGTTCGAATCCAGGCTCTGTCGTAGCCGGCCGTGACCGGGAGACCATGGGGCGGCGCACAATTGGCCCAGCGTCGTCCAGGGTAGGGGAGGGAATGGCCGGCAGGGATGTAGCTCAGTTGGTAGAGCATGGCGTTTGCAACGCCAGGGTTGTGGGTTCGATTCCCAAGGGGGGCCAGTATGAAAAAATAAACTGTAAGTCGCTCTGGATAAGAGCGTCTGCTAAATGACTAAAAATGTAAATGTAAAAAAAAAATACACTGAAGCCAGACTGATACATAATACAGGGATCAGGCACAACAGGAGGAACAGACATATGTGACAGAACAGTTGTATCTTTAAAAACACTCTACATCTAATAAAAAACAAAAACTACATATGAGAGAGAGAGAGGAAGAGGAAGAGGAAGAGAAGAGAAGAGAAGAGAGTCAGGAGGATAGTAGGGTGTGAACAAACCTTCTGGCAGGCAGGCAGAGTGCACCCAGAGGAGTGTGTGAGGTGAGCAGAGGAGTGTCCCAGTCAGGACCATAGGCTCTCTGTAAGGCCCAACCAAGTCAGAAACAACTGGTCACATTTACCACCAATCACAAACTCCCATCTGTCTGTATGTCCCTTTACTGGTGTACCTCTAAGCACAAAGGGTTTTGAACTGTTTTTTTCTTCACGGAGTGTGTGTGCATGTATGCCTGAATGTGTTTCTTTCACTAGAGCTGTATTCGAATACTCATACTAACCTCACTAACCGTACTATTTGGGACGTAAATTGATAATGTTTTCACAACGTTTTCAGATTTGAAGAAAATGGCGGAAAATATGCAGCCGAAGTCCGACGAGAGCGGATACAAATTCATTGCTTGAACTAATTATGACAAATGTTAAGAAAATGCTGATCAATGTAATAAAGTAATGACTTTTCAAAAAAGTTACGTTACACGTTATGTTTCTGACAATTTGTTAGCTACGCTATCCTTATGAACCGCATAGCATTACTGCAGTAATGTTGGCTACTAATACATCGAACTTGCCGGGCAGCATATTAACTATAATCTAACTAACTACCCAACGTTTATTGACTTGATTATTCACGTCATTCTTAGCTAAGTTGTATAGTCGTTGTGCGTTCTCAATGGACATTGTTAACTCTGGCTATCTACTCCGATTTCAGAGCACTCTCGTCTGAGTGTGCCAGAGCGCAGAATAACTGATTAATTTAGGAACCCGTTGAATATATGGCTGGCGTCAGTAAAGGTCGGCAAAAAAAAGCCTCATTAAATTGTTGCCAGCAGCACAGTTACAGTCACCAACGCTCTGGATAATATGAAAACTGCCTAACCAGCTCTGCTAGGGCGAGTAAAATGGTCAGAGTGAGGTGTTCTCTAATTTGTGTCTGAAAGTAGCTAGCCAACGTTAGCCAGCTAGCTTGGGTGCTTGACTGCCGTTGTGAGGTCAGAAGGCTCGGATCAACCCTACTCCTCGGCCAGAGCGTCCAGTGACGCGATCCGAGAACGAAACGCTCTGAATTTACGAACGGACAATCTGACAACTCTCTGGATTTACAAACGCCCAGAGTGCACTCTGGCACTCCAGATTGAATTTACGAACACACCCAAAATCGTTAAATGTCTAGCTAGTCATTTGTTATGCTAACAAGCTAGCAAGAGGTTGCATAGCAACAGCATCAACTTCCGGTAGGAGAAGCGCTAGTATGCTCAACTGGAAGGATACCATTTGTTTACAGTATAGTAAAATGAACTAATAGTATATAGTTTGTAGTATATACTCATTAAGTATGTAGTATACAGTATGTTAGTATGGGTATTCTAACACAGCTTAGGTCTCTCACAGACATTTCCACTGTCTACCAACAGCATCTTTGGTTTGAGTTTGAGCTACAATGCTGGTCTTCTGCATTGGACCACTTTGAAGTAGGATGTGTTCTATAAGAACAGGGTGATCATCTATAAACTCATTTGTCACATGCGCTGAATACAACAGGTGTAGACCTTACAGTGAAATGCTTACTTACAAGCCCTTAACCAACAATGCAGTTTTAAGAAAGAATACCAAAAAAAATCACAAAAGATACAATATAAAATAATACAAAATAAAAGTAACAAATCATTAAAGAGCAGCAGTAAAAATAACAATAGCGAGGCTATATACAGGGGGTACCGGTACCGAGTCAATGTGCGGGGGCACCGGTTAGTCGAGGTAATTGAGGTAATATGTACATGTAGGTAGAGTTATTAAAGTGACTATGCGTAGATAATAAACAGAGAGTAGCAGCTGCGTAAAGGGGGGGGGGGGGGGGGGGTCTGGGTAGCCATTTGATTATATGTTCAGGAGTCTTATTGCTTGGGGGTAGAAGCCGTTTAGAAGCCTCTTGGACCTAGACTTGGCACTCCGGTACCTCTTACCGTGTGGTAGCAGAGAGAACAGTCTATGACTAGGGTGGCTGGAGTCTTTGACAATTTTTAGGGCCTTCCTCTGACACCGCCTGGTATAGAGGTCCTGGATGGCAGGAAGCTTGGCCCCAGTGATGTACTGGGCCGTACGCACTACCCTCTGTAGTGCCTTGCGGTCGGAGGCCGAGCAGTTGCCATACCAGGCAGTGATGCAACCAGTCAGGATGCTCTCGATGGTGCAGCTGTAGAACCTTTTGAGAATCTGAGGACCCATGCCAAATCTTTTCAGTCTCCTTAGGGGGAATAGGTTTTGTCGTGCCCTCTGCATGACTGTCTTGGTGTGCTTGGACCATGTTAGTTTGTTGGTGATGTGGACACCAAGGAACTTGAAGCTCTCAACCTGCTCCACTACAGCCCCGTCGATGAGAATGGGGGTGTGCTCGGTCCTCTTCTTTTTCCTGTAGTCCACAATCATCTCCTTTGTCTTGATCACGTTGAGGGAGAGGTTGTTGTCCTGGCACCACACAGCCAGGTCTCTGACCTCCTCCCTTTAGGCTGTCTCGTCATCGTTGGTGATCAGGCCTACCACTGTTGTGTCATCGGCAAATGTAATGATGGTGTTGGAGTCGCTATGGTTCTCTGTGTGGGTTTTGTGATGGCTTATGTTCGAGATAAGGTCAAGTTATCTTTTGAGTAAATAAATAATCTATCATAACAACAGCCTAACATGATCCCAGACAGGGTCCTTTGTAGGTTACTGGTGCTCTGTGAACAGAACCAGTTGCATGGAACAGATGTGCTTCGAGGACCTACATCTGCAAACATCTGCTGAATCACTACAAAACATTCCAACACATAACTGTCTTGTTCTTGATGGTGAGTGAGTTACAGTAACTGTGAGATGACAACACAGAACCTGAGCCAATGGCAGGAGGGCTCAGCCATTAGTATGCAATTATTACTGTGAGTGCCATCCTTTAGCAGTTAGCCAGTTAGCTGGCTAAGCTACCCAGCTATATATGAAAATTCCATCTGCTAGATCTATGCAGAGGGGAGTGTGTAACCATGTCTCTGTAGTGGTACTATAAGTTGTTAAACTGCTTGTCCTTA